TCAGCCACTTCTCTTAAATGTTTTCAGTGGTACTTCTCAATTTCTATAGTATGGTAAGATAAAACCTTTCTTAATTTTGTTCTTAATATTGATTCCACTAAAACAATGGCTTCCCACTGATACTTTCTGCTCTTCACCCTTGGTATATACCAAAATATATTTCCAAGCTTTCTTTCAGTTAAATAAACTATGTGACTGAGTCATAGAAAACGAAATGTGTGCAGAAGTGACAGCTGCAATTTTCAACCTTTATATCCCCCTCTCAAACCTGCCATGCTTCATAATTTGTTTTCTTTCTACTTTCTAGAAAATCTTCAAAGCTACATGTATAAAATAGCAGTGCGAAAATATGGAAGAAGGCTGAGTATCTGAATCACTGTTTGGAAGGGAGATTCTTGACATACAAAGAATGTGATATAAATGAGGAAGATGCTTCTATAGTGTTAAGTCACTGGGATTTGGGAGCTGTGTGTTACAGCAGTTTGCCTCAGATGACAAATCTAGAAATTGGTAGCTTTGAAGTGGAATGCTGCAATAATAAGCATCCCCAATATATTTTTTAATGTGTCAAAGAAACAGATATAGCAAACTGTCAATCTACATTATACACTGAAAAACATACTTGGTAAAGTTATAACCAAAAGTAAAATGAGAAAGAGACCATGTGCTTACTGAGCTGGGAATTCTAAGAGGGTGGTTGTTTCAGTGTTGGTAAGCATTGGCTACTGTTGCCTTTATTTGGCAAGGTATTTCAAAAAAGAGTAAGCTCATGAATGTAACAAAGAACAAAGTTCAAAATTTTGAAGTTAGAAAAACTGACCTTTTTTAGATCCCAAGAAGAAAAGTTAGATTGGGATGCCTTTGACAAACAAAAGCTGTTCAGGATCCAGCTTTGGGCAAAATGTTGACCTCTCCTCTAAAGTCAAGTATCTGCAAGTTAGCCACAATTAAATTGAGAGGAAAGAGATGCGTGAAAGTTAATAAGCAAATAAATAGGAGATGTTGCTGTGGCATAGTGTGCTAAGCCTCCACCTGCAGCACTGGCATCTCATATAGGCGCTGGTTTGAGTCCAGGTGGTTCTTCTTCCAATTCAGCTTTCTGCTATGGCCTGGGAAAGCAGTAGAAGATGGCCCAAGTGCTTGGGCCCCCCATGTGGAAGACCCAGAAAAAGCTCCTAGATCCTGGCTGCAGGCCGCCTTAGTTCCAGCCATTGCAGCCATTTGGGGAGAGAACAAGCAGGTGGAAGACCTTTCTCTGCCTCTCCCTCTCTCTGTCTGTAACTCTGCCTCTCAAATAAGAGAGAAATAAACTCATTAAGCTCTATTCACAAGAGTCAAGATGTAGAATCAACCCAAGAGTCCATCAATGGATGAATGGATAAAGCTACAGGTGCGCGCACACGCACACACAATAGAGTATTGTTCTGCCATAAAAATTAATGAAATTCTGATATTTGCAGCAAAAAATGGATGGAACTGGAGATCACTGTGTCAAGAGAAATAAGCCAGGCACAGAAAAATATTGCATATTATTGCTTATATGTGGAAGTTGAAAACTGATATGTGTATGTGAGAAAGAAAGAGAGAGAAAAGGGAAATCCAAATTCCACAACAATCACTATTGTTGGAGGGCAGGAACAGGAAATGGGGGAGGTTGGATAATGTGTGCCAAAATAACGTAGCATAAATGTAATGGGTTCCAGTGTTTTACAGCATGGTGGATTGAATGTGGCTAACAACTCTGTATAATATTCTGTATAAAGAACTGGACTAGTGTTTCTAGTAGGTTCCAAATGCAAAGAAAGGATAGGGAATGAAAAGCTGATTGCCTGATAGTTTAAGCTCTCTCTCTCTCTCTGTGTCTCTGTGTGTGTGTGTTGAAATGTTGCACTGTACCCCTTAAAAATGTGCAGGTAATACATGTTAATCGAAAACTTAAAAATTAAAAAAATTAAAAGAAGAAAAAAAGAATCTCTATCTTTAGGTCATATGACATTTCCTCATGCACAAACTCAGTTTGTAAAAAGGAAAAATAGTAATATCTCCTTAAAAGTTTCCTGCTTCCCACTTTTCCCTCCAGCACACATTTATTCTTATCATTCTCCTCATCCAATAGTATTTATTAAATGGCCACATTTGCATGGCACCGTACCTGTGATTTTCCATTTCTCTCCAAGGAAGATTTCCTGGTTTAGAAGTTTTAATGGCTGCGCCTTTGAAAATGTCTTAAGAAGGTTTTGACTGTAATTCCTTTTCTCCTGGCTCTTATTTAATAGGTACCAATGCCTATCTCTTGCCTGGGGTATTGAGGTAGGGAGAGGAAGATTCATTAACCATGGTGAGTTATGGATTTCAATGCCCTGGCTACTTCATTTCTCATATCCAAGTAGATCGTTTCCTCCCTAGTCCTTCCAAGCCCAAAGAGGCATATATTGTAAGTAGCCTTAATCTGCTTCATTAGAACATTTTTTTAACTTTACAAGAATGATACAGCCGATATTACCATATTACTTCTGGTGACATGCATGGCAGAATAATCATATATTCATACTAGCTGGCAGTAATAGTAATGATTTTAGTTGTGGTAGGAAGGGTAGAAAGTCATACTATTTTATAGCTGGGAGATACTGAAATTAACTTCATTCTCAGATACAAAAATCCATGTCCAGAGAGGAGAAATGTGTTGCTTAAGGTTCCATACTGGTGACAAATGCCTGATTCCAGTACCTCTCATTCATAAACTGATATGTTACCACTCTACTCTTTTGAGTAGCAAGGCAGAGTGTAGGGTGACATAGATGGCAAGGAAGACTATTTCAGGAGCAAGGAACAGACAAGTGAACAAGGATTTTATGTACCATAACACAAAAAAGTACATGTGCTCTTGGTACACTTGGGATACCTTTTCGTTACACAATTCTCCCTTTGCTTCCTCTCCACGTGTCAGTGAAGAGCCCTATTTGGATGTATGCCCTGGAATACCAGCAGAAGCTTTCTCACTCTGAGACCAGCTGTGTTGTCTCCTAGGGAGAAAAGTAATGCACACATGCCCACAACATTGTCTAGCTTTCGGCACCAAGTTAACTCTTACCAAGAAGCAGGATTCTACTTGTACCTGCTATAAATGGAAGCTGCTTTGGTTCAGGGGATCACTTCTATGATCTGGCCATGTGGATAACCTTAAAATCACAAATGTTTATTTCTGATCCCTTCTCTAGAGTGGAAGTTCCCAACCTGTGCAATTTTTCTACGCTATCCCTGCGACAACTCTTCCAAGGGAAATTTGGCAATGTCTGGAGACATTTTCTGTTGTCTCAACTGAGGGAATGCTTTTAGCATTTAGTAGATAAAGGTCAGAGTGTTGCTAAACATCCCACCATGCACAGAACAGCCTCCACTAAAAACGGGGGAGTCCAGTTAAAATGTCAATATGCTAAGATTAAAGAACGCTACCCTAGTATATTATCTCTCCCTCCCCAAACCTCAAATGAAGTCATTTGAGTACTCTTCCTTGGACTCTTGGCTCTTAGCTATCACAGTAAGAAGTCACATTTTGCTGTCTACAATCTTCCTTTAACAGAAGACTTCTAAAGCCAGTGGAGAAACAGCTCTGGACGGGGAGTACAGTACCTGGCTTCATAAATTCCCAGTTATAAGAACACCTACTTACTTCATTGGGTTTGTGTAAAAACCATAGAATAAGAAAGTAGAAGTGTGATTAAAAGGGGTGGAAGGAGCAGTGGGAGTGGCGAGGTATAGCTCAAAGGGTGCTAATTTGTATTATACAAGATGAATAAGTCTAGAACTCCAAGGTGCAACATAAGGAATATAGTGAAAATGTATTGTTTAGTCAAAACTTGCTAAGAGAGCAAATTTAGGTGCAAATATCACACAAAAAATAGTTAAGTGTTTGATGATGGACATGTTATTTTCATTGACTGTAATTATTTCATTGTGTATATATATATATACGTATATCAAAACATAATGTTGTGGAAAATATTTTTAATAGCTGAAAAGACACTGCTTGGTATGCCTTCATCACATATTGGAGTCTCAGATTCAAGTCCTAGTTCTGCTTCTAATACCAACTTCCTGTTAATATGTACCCCAGGAGGCAAGAGGAGATGGCTCAGGATATTGGGTCCCTGCCACCCACCTAAACCAGTGGATGGAAGGTCTCGCTCTGTCTCTGTTTGCCTTTCAAATAAATAAACACAATTTTTAAAAAACATTTTATATATCTTAAATATATAAAATAAAAATAAAATAAAACATGTTTGTTAGAGTGTTCCATAAACTGTGAAAGTGTTGCAAGATACAAATGCATTGCATTGTCATGGGAGGTAACAATTCACAACAAATGTATGGATTTCTATTAGCGGAATTTCAGGAACTGACTAAAGGTACTTCTGGCTCAGAAGTTTGTGCAGCATCTCTATTATTCCACAAAATAGGTGGCAAATTATGTTTAACACTGGTTCTGTTTTTACTGTTTTGAAATACTGTGTTTCTCAGTGCTAATCACATAGTGTATATTTAGTAAATTATTTACTCATAAGTTAAACAACATAGTTTTTACATTCCAATAAAGACAAAGGCCTTTTTCACCTCTACTAATTCATAAAAACTCACATTTAATGAGCCTTTCTGTGGTTTGATTGAGCTTCTTTTTCCTATCATCACAACAGAAATAGGTTAATGAGCCTGATAGAGTTTATTTCCTGAAATTAATTTGGTTTAACACTTGTATATTAGACATTGTGGTAGGGACTAAATATGCAAATAACAGAGGCTAGCATATATTACACTCCAACCCTGTGTCAGTCACTGTGGTAGGCACTGTGTCACTTTATCCCTAACATTCCCAGAAGCAAGAGAAGTAAGCATTTATCCCATTTGATAAATGAGGCAGCTGAGATTCAAAAATTTTTGTGACTTATCTAAGACACTCAACTCACTGCATGAGTGCTAGTACTGAGAGTCAAATTTACATTTACCTGGTGGTAGATGCCATGTTCTTCCTCACCAGTCCCCAACAGCTTCTCAGTTCCAGCCGTGTTCTGGAATTACACATCAAAACAACATGCCCAGTTATCATGATGAGCCAGGAATGTCTGTGCTAGAGAATGGGGTGATAATGGACAAAACACCCATTACTAATGGAGATGCTGGCATCTCTCAGGCAAGTCCAGTCAGTGCGTACTACTAGAATGAGTGAATAACAAAATGCCTAAATCCTTCCACTTTCTTAATACGTAAAACTGCTTGCAAAATAGGAATCGCTTGAGCAACTCATATTTGTAGTGCACTGAGGATTTGTGTTTCAATTCCAAATAAATGAAGCCTGACTCAAACAAGTCTTTGTTATTTCCTACCTATCGAATTCAATTACATTTGGTGAGGACTTACTGAGTCAAGACTGTGTGCCTAGTGCTGTGGGAAACAGCAATGGATGACATGATAACTGCCCTCAAGAGTTTGCTTTACTCAGAGGGAAATGAGACTTAATTAGAGTATAATAAAAGCCAGCTGATACCCACATATTAAACTTCACAAGATCTCCTTTATTCACCAACACATTCTCTGGTTCTCTCATAGACTCATGTATTCAGCGAACATGGAGGTGCTGTGGGGTGCAATGGGCATTGCTGTGCAATATATAAAAGTGATACCAAATATAGTAGACGAGCCTGGTGCTCAAGGGTGTGATCATGAAGGCTTCTAGCAGGTAGGAGCTGTTTTAGGGGAGGTGCTCAAGAATAGGGAAGATATATAATATGCGGAAAAAAATACATTTTGGGAAGATTCTGCTGATGCTCTATTCCACAATTGATAATGAGTTACTATATTGCTGAAAGCCACACATGTTTACAAACACATTATTGTGTGTCTTCCTCTGAGATAATAATCTAAAAATAGCCATCCAATGACACAGTTTCAACCAAAATTAGAGAGAAGCAATTAACATAAAAAAGTAATCTCACAACCTGGTGATGTGTGAAACTAACCTTCAGTACTAAAAGTAGAAGCTACTCTGTCATATTAAACAGAGAATATTTCCCTTAGTATTCAAAACACATGCCTCAAGAGAAATAGTTAATCCTGCTGATAATAGAAACTCTCAGATGTAAAAAGTAGCAACAGTTGCTTTGCATGATTTTCCTCACTTCACATGACTGCTAAAATATTCTTTTTTATCTTTTAATCTGTCTTTATTAAAATATAGCTCTGTATGTATTTTTAATTCCAAAAAAGAAATTGAAAACAGGAAAGGGAAATGAACTAAGAAAATGTGAACACTGTCCCCAAATATAACGACTATGATGTAATTATATCATATCCAAAATAAAATACTTGCATTTTTTGCACAGTATATAATTTTTATTTGGATGATAAGTAGGTAATTTCTTTTCATTTTAAATATCCCAAGACCATTAAACTTCTATTTATTCTAACTATCAACAAGAATATGACTTCCTTTTTTCTGCCTTAAAGACCAATAATTAAATAATAAGAATTAGGCATGGTGTTTAGGACAGTTTAAGTTGCCACTTGAGATGACTGCATTGCACATTGACGTGCCTGGTTCAAGTTCCAGCTCCTCTGCTTAGGATCCAGCTTCTTTAAAAAAAAAAAGATTTATTTTATTTATTTGAAAGAGTTACAGAGAGAGGTAGAGAGAGAGAAACAGAGAGAGGTCTTCCATCCACTGGTTCATTCCCCAAATGGCCACAACAGCAGGAGCTGAGCTGATCTGAAGCCAGGAGCCTCTTCTGGGTCTCACCCAGTGGTGCAGGGGCCCAAGGACTTGGGCCATCCTCTGCTACTTTCCCAGGAGCATTAGCAGGGAGCTGGATCAGAAGAGGAGCAGCGTGGCACCCAAATGGGATGCTGGCACTGTAGACGGCAGCTTTACCTGCTTCGCCACAGCACTGGCCCCCAGATCCAGCTTCATACTAACATATACTCAGGGAGGCAGCGGGTGAAGGCTCAAATTTTGGTTGCCTATCACTCCCATTGAAGTTCCTGATTGCTGGCTTTGACCTGGTCCAGCTCTAGCTGATATGGGCTTTTGTGGAGTGAATCAGCAGATGTAAACTCTCTTTCTCTGTCTCTGTTTCTTCCTCTGTGTCTCTTTGCCTTTTAAATAAAATGAAAATAAACATTTAAAAATTTTCACAAAAGAATGTTTGACTTGCTGAGTGGCATTGGTATCTATACAAGATAACACAATGTGCCTTCCATAGGTTTCTAGTTCATTATGAACTCAAGAGACAGGTTTAATATACACAAAAATATTAGTCAACTTTGCTTCAGAAAGAAGCAACTCCAGATCTAAGTGGCTTAAAACAAAAGCATGTATTTCTGGATTTGATTTTGTGTTTTGTGCCTGAAAGTTACTTGTGGTGGCCCTTTGTGTGTTTCTTATCCTGAATCAAGAGCGCTTCTATTTGGGATGCGCCTTCTCATGTTAGAGAAAAAAGCATAAGAGGTGGCAGAAATATGAAATGGCACTTAAAATTCCACTTGGAATTCGCAGTTGGTCATACCTTCTCACATTCCACTGTCTCCACAAATTATTTGGCCAATCAACAATGAGATAGGGAAATAAATTCTGCCTATATTTCATGGCAGTTGGTGGGGATATTTAATATTTTCCTTTGGAAGGGATCAAAAATGCATAAAAATAATATAGTCAAGATAAATATATGAGTTTGCTGATTCATCAAAATTTTTCAAATTCCAAAATATATCATTGATATGTATTTAAAGTTCTGTAGGAGAAATTTAAGGAGAATAAGAAATAAGAAGACAGAAATTAATGGAAATACATCTCATGTTCATGGATTCAGGGAATTAATGTTGCTAAAATATGTATTCTACCCAAAGCAATCTAGAGATTCAGTGCAATTCCTAATAAAATTCTAGTAACATTTTTCACTGAAATAAGAAAAATCATCCTAAAATTCATATGGAACCACAGATTCCCCAAACCTCAAGCAAATTTCAGAAAGAACGACAAAATTAGAGCCACCACATTCACTAATTTTAAAATATGTTACAAAACGATAGTTGCAAAATCATAATCATAGACAAATGGAACAAAATAGAGAACTCAGAAAAAAATCTATGCATATGCAAGTCAATTAATTTTCAACAAGGGTGCCAACAATACAAAATATGGAGAAGATCATCCCTTTGATAAAAAAAAGTGTTGAGAAAACTGGATATAAACATGTAAATACTAGTGAGATGGCATTGGTACATGCCACCTTGATGGGATTGAACTGGAATGTTTCTAACTCTACCGTTTGAGGTAAGTCAGCTTAAGCATGTCCCGAATTGTACACCTCTTCCCTCTCTTATTCCCACTCTTTCCTTAGTGTGCTGTACATTGAGATTTAATGCTATAACTAGTACTCAAACAGTATTTTTCACTTTAGGTTTCTGTGTGGGAGCAAACTGTTGAAATCTTTACTTAATGTATGCTAAACTGATCTTCTGTATATAAAGAGAATCGAAAATGAATCTTGATGTGAATGGAAGGGGAGAGGGAGTGGGAAAGAGGAGGGTTGCGGGTGGGAGGGACGTTATGGGGGGAAGCCATTGTAAAAAAAAAAAAATGTAAATACATGAAACTGAACCTGTATCTTATACCATATACAAAATTTAACTCAAAATGTATTAAAGATTTTTTTTCATTTTTTCAATATTTTATTTACATATGGTGAACATATTTCATGTATTTCATATATATACAGATTTAGGAACATAATGATACTTCCCATCCACCCTCCCTCCCACCCATACTCGTACCCTCCCTCTTCATTCCTTTCCTTTTTTTTTCTTTTTGTAGGACCTGAAATTGTAAATTTTCCAGAAGAAAACTTGATATTGGTGTTGGCAATGATTTTTTGACATGACACCAAAAGTCAAGGCAATGAAAACAAGAAAACAAAAAAAACTAGAATTATGCCACTGAAAAGCTTCTGCATAGCAAAGGAAGAGATAAACAAAATAAAAAGGCAAACTGTGGAATGGGAGAAAACATTTCCAAACCATACATCTGAAAAGGGGTTAATATTTGAAACATATAAGTAATTCATACAACTAGACAGAAATAATAATAATCTAATATGAAAATGATCAGAGGAATTGAATAGACATTTCTCCAAAGAAAACATACAAATGGCCTACAGATAGGTGAAAAAGTCCTCACCATCACAAATTATTGGAAAATAAAAGAACTATAAGACACCATCTCACATCTGTTAAGAGGTCTAATATCAACAAATAAATAAATAAATACCACAGACGTGGGTCAGAATATGGAAAAGGAGAACCCTTGTATATTGTTGGTAGAAATGCAAATTGGTACTGTTATTTTGAGAAATAGTATGGAAGTTCCTCAAAAACTTAAAAATATAACTATCATATTGTCCAGCAATCATAATTCTCAGTATTTATTCCAAAGAATTGAAATCATGATCTCATCTGCACTCCCATGTTCAGTGCATCATTATCCACAATAGCCAATATATGAAAACAACCTAAATGACCATCAACAAATCAATGACTAAAGAAAATGTGGAATATAGGATAGAATACTACTCAGTCCTTAAAAAGAATGGTATGAATGAATGAACAACATTATGCTAAGTGAAGTATGTCAAATACAGAAAAATAAATGGTATGATCTCACTTAGATGTGTAAAGTAAAACAGTCAAGCATATAGAAGCAGAGAATGGAATGGTGATTTACACAGGCCTGGGGATGAGAAAATGGAAAGCAATAGTCAAAGCATACAAAGTTTCAGTAATGCAAAGTAAATAAATTCTTGAGATATACTACATAGCATAGTACCTACAGCTAAAAATATTACATTGTATACTTTAAATTTTCTAAGATGGTAGATCTTATGTCAAATGTTGTTGCCATAAAAATAGTAGTAATAATAGTAGTAGCAATAGTAATAGTTATAAAGAAAGTGAGAGGAAACTTTGAGAAGCAGTGGATATGTCTATGGCCTTGGTGGTAGTAATGGTTTCATGAGGGCAT